GGCGCGGTCAGACGCGAGCGTCACCGCCGGGAATCGACCGCTCCACGGACGTTTCCGGCCCATGAGGGCACCATGACCTCCTGGCCGCGTTCGCGGCGCGTGTCGTCGCCGTGGCGGCCCCGCAGCGAGCGCCACGAGTCGGCGGCGTCGAAGGGCGTCTCGGGCGTCGACCTGCTGGCCGCCGGACCCTCGAGATCGCACAGATCGCGTCCGAACGGCCCGAAAAAGACGTCGCCGGCGTGGACCGTCGACACCCGAAAACGCCGTCTCGCGAAAGGTGTGGATTTTCGCGTCGGTGGTGTCCGAGGCGTCCGTGGGCACGGTGTGAGTCGAAACGAACTCGCAGAGCCGCGAGACGGCGACGTCTTTTCGATATGCACAGGCCGTGAAGATCCGGCCCGACGCGCTCAGCCGTCCGAACGCGGGTCCCGGGACATGTGCGGGCCCTCGCCGTCGGAAAGGTGGCGTCCAGACGCGAGACATATCGTACCGCAACGCCGCCTCGCGCGCACTTCGCTGGCTGGAGGCTCTGCAGCAGCTCGCGGCGCCGGTTTCGGCGAAGGCATTCGTCGCGCTCGATATGCACATCGGCAGGAAATCTCGAAGCGGTCGAGAGTGGCGACGATGCGTTGCAGGGAACTCACCTAAGCCTTGGAGAAGGCGAGACGATGCGCAGCTCCCGGCCTCGCGCCGGTCCGGACGAAGCGCAGCTCGTGCTCGGCGTGCCGTGCATCAGCCCAGCGAAAATCACGTTTTTGGAGCGTGCTGCGCGCGCGCGAAGACGTGCGCGAGTGAGCTGAGAAGGTCGTGGCGGACGGCCAGCATCCATGAGAGATCAGCGGGACCGAAGCGCACGTCGGCGGGTGCCACGGCGCGCCGGCGCCGGCGCCGGGACGAGATCAGCGGGTTGGTGTTGACGGTGCAACAAACCGGCCCTCAACATTTGCGCCGTCGTCGCGCGCGCCCCCGGCGCGCGACCGCGTCCGCATCCTCGCGCTCGCTCGGGTCGCCCTCAGCCGGGGCGGCGCGAGGCGGGGCGGCGCGAGGCGGCGCGGGCACGCTGGAGTTCGCGTCGGCGGCCATGGTGTCCCTCGTCAACGCCGGCGGCGACGACGACCTGCGCGACCCCGAGGCGCCGACGAACCACGACGAGCGCGCGCTCCAGGAGGGCTTCACGCTGGGCCGCGTCGTCTGGTTCGGCGGCAAGGACGACTGGTGGGGCGACTGGTGCTTCTACGTCGACAACGAGCACACGCTCATCAGCACGTGGCGCGGCCACGCGCTGCACCCCTTCGAGCGCTTCGACCGCGTCTGCTACTTCCTCTGCGTCGTCTGCTTCTCGCTCTTCATGTCGGCCTACATCCAGCACGAGCACCCCGTGCACGAGTCGCTCGCGGTCTACTGCTTCTGGGTCGCGTTCTCGTCGTTCCTGCTCGTCGTCTACGACCTGCTCCTGCGCATGCTCGCGACGTGCCCCTGCGTCCAGCCCGGCGCGGCGCTGCACGGCGTCTGCTGGCTCTGCCGCGACTGCTTCAAGGACGCGGGCAAGCAGAGCCTCTACATCGCGTCGATCTGTTCTTTGGGGCTGCTCGTCGCCGGCGTCGTGCTCGCGGTGACGGCGGACGTGGACCCGGGCATGTACTTCGCGACCTTCGGCCTCATGCGCGTCTGCTCCTACGTGGCGGAGTTCGGGCCCCTGGCCTACGGCTTCTACAGCCGCCGCGAGGGCCAGCGCGAGTACTGGCTCGAGGGCGCGCAGGGCGGCGCGTACCCGCTGGGCTTCGCCAAGCCCGACCCGCTCTTCGTCCGCGAGACGCGGACCCACGGCGTCAAGC